TGTGGTAGGTTAGGAGACGGGCGGCGCTGTGTTTGATGGGAGCAGAAGCAGGAACAGCTGACAGATGAAATGTTCATTTACATGGTGATTATTAGGAACTCAGTCCATGACTGGGATGCCCCAATATTATTGCAATACCAGGAAAGGATGCAAACTTCAGATTAATACAAAGTTTTAGATGATGAGCAGAGTCCAGAATAGGGGAAAGAGGAATCAAGCCCCCCCCCAAAAAAAACATCACAAAGCTGTCCCCTCCTTTAATACCTTGTCAGCCTCTGTGTGGGTAAGAAGGAAAAACCTTCTCACCTTGGTGAGATTCAAGAGGATTTCATTCCCTGACTTTGATGATCAGGTTTATAACTCCACTGGCTATCTAAGACAGGACAGGCAGGAAACAGAAATAAGTGCACATGTAAGTATGGTAACTGTTAGGAAAAAAAAAAAAAGAGAATTATTCTTTTGGGAAGAGATTATTTCTTCTTCTTTGGAAGAAGAAAAACCTGGAAAATAACAGGAAGTAGGAGAAAGACACTACAGCTCATGTATGCAAGTATGTGCCACCATCTGCTACAGAAAAGAAGGAAGCAGAGCATGGAAAGAAAGAGACTAAGAGAACAAAAGCCAAGAATGCAGTAAGTCAGGACTTCTGAGAGGAGCGAATAGTTAGCCATTCCCTTATACCTGCTGCTGTACTGTCCACACACCTCAAAGGTAGTTGGCTAGTTTATACCTTCTGCTGTATAGGTACCTTTCAGGCTGGAGAATAATCTACCGATGCTCAGGTCTCAGCAGAACCGCATCAGTTCTAGGCAGCCCAGTTAGTCTACAGAAATCCCCTAACAGAGATTTTCAAACCTCAAGTTTGTCACGCATTTAACATTTTACCTTATTTCACGTCCTTTACCTTAAGAGACCGGCCATGGTGAATGTGAATCAGTTTAAAACAGATGCCATGAAAACAATGTATCTTTCTCCTTGATAGTTTCACAGGCTAAGGTTGCAGGGTATATATCTCAAGACCCATTTCTTTTCCCCTTTTCACCTACTGCTTCTAGACACTTTGTAGAAATGATGGCAAGTTTGGTAGCATCAACAGCAACAGGTATACAAGTTAAGCCATAACTAAATTTGAAGTGATAATCTAGGTATCATCTCTTCCATTTTATTTACTGCTACTTTTCCCCAACACTGAAAACAATTACCCTTGATGAACATCGTCATTAAAACTTTTGATCAATAATCCATTCATTTCTGTAAAAAATGAGTATCTGCTAGATAAAGTACAGAGAATAAAACTTAATATTTTATGTGTATATTTAGTTAACAAAACATTTTTGAAGACTCAGTAATAGAAAGAGGGTAGGAATTTCGACACACTGTGGAGCGGATTTATTTATGATTCATTCCCTCTAATAGGATATGCTTGTTTACAGAGCTTCAACTAGATCTGGTAAAGGTTAAACATTCAATAAAAGCTCCTGTGACTCCTGTGACATAATGCCAACCCTTGCACAATAGTCAAAAACAAAGCCAGTTTTCTAAGAAGACACTGCAGTGAATCCAACAACAATATTTTAAATAACTGGCTGCAAGTGTTTTGGGGTTTTTGCTTGTTTTTCATTTAATGGTCTAACAAAAAAACCCAACAAAACAGCACAACATACCTTTAGAACTGTTAATACAAAATCACCTTCTCTCCAAAGCTACAACACTGCACATCTGATTTCTCAAATAAATTACTTTTTGAGGAAACACAAGCTCCTAGACTTCAGGACTCCTCAGCACAGCTACAACCCTGACGTTTATGAGTGCAGCCTAACAAATTCTAGCAGGTCCCTGTTGAATGAGGTGCCATACCAAACTGCAATCATTTAATACTGTGCTAACCCATCGCCTTGTGCAGCTAGCACTGGTACAGAGGGCAGAAGGATGCCCAAGGGCTGGAATTCTTTTGTTGGTTCAGATGCTGAGGAATCACGAATCTCACCAGTGACGCTGCGAACTGGTTTATTTAGCACCTTCAGTAAAACGTACACTAAGTTCTCCACATACCAACTATGCAAACCACAGTATTGCAACATATGCACACAGGAATAGTAAAATTATTCTGTAAGAGCTCAGGGGATCAATGTGTGCTACATTTCCATGCATTTTGGTCCTGTAACTTGAAGTGAAGCCAGTGAGAATAAATATTAAACCTGGATCGTTCTTTTTAAATTAAAAGTCTTTGCTGTGAATGCAAATCCAATGTACCCATCAAGATTCAAAAATCGGACTGTATTTGACTAAATGAACTAAGCAGCAGTGCACCATGCAAAGTGCGCTAACAGAAAAGCTCCAGAGTAACTTGTTGCAGCTATTACAGTATCTCCACTGCACACCCACCTATACTGCTAAAAATAAAAAGTATACCAGGACTCCGGTAGCAACGCAATCAAACACCGATTCAGAAAAAGCAGAGGCAAGAAGTGAAGAAAAAAATTACTTCAGATAACCAAGAGGTGTCTCTGTGATTATTTTACACTTTTCCCTTGCACCCCCTGCCCCAAAAAGCGGGGATGTACATAAGTTTCCACTGCTGGACTGATCCCCCCCCAGCCCCTCATCTCAATTTACTGTGGCATTAATGGCAGAGGAAAGGTGCAGCTCTCCATGGATGCAAAAGAGAGAAGGTGAAAGTCACATCGCTCCTACCCACGCTGAATTTATGAATAATCACTCCCAAGCACTGACAAACCCCACATTTCAACAGACCAAACTCTCCCAGGGACTTGTCCATCTCTCCTCACCAACTGCTTTTGCTCATTCAACCCAAGAGGTGAATCTGTGAGAGCGACTGCCAGTTTTCATTCTGCTCTTGCTCAAACTTTAGGGAACTTTTCTTGCAGCACTACAAGCACCAACTTTTGTGGGGAGATAAGCAAAGGAATGAGAGAAGACAGAAAGTAATGCATTTTGGTACCACCAAGGAGTAAAAAGCACTGCACCTTTACTGATGTGATCCCTGCACCTGTTCTAATCCCCCAAACACAAGAGGAATTTCAGCAGTGACTGTAAACTAAACAATCTTTATCACTTTGCTGTTGCTCCAATAAAGCACCAACATGAAGAGACTTTTCTCTATCTTTCACTATTGGCAAAAGGTACAGTAGTCCAGGAATTACTGGTGTGATGCAGGATTACAATTCCAAAAGTCCTTTCCTACAGCCCTGGCACGTATTATTTACAGAAGCGGTATTCCTCTTTGCTGCATAAAACTGAAACCCAGCAAAGCCACTGACTTTTCAAGTGTGAGCCTGAAGCACTGAGGCCTTGAAGAGATTTAGGACCACCTGAAAGATAAACTGGCTTAGAGAAGTCCAAGCTAACAGGGATCTAGGAGGAATCTAGACCATGTACCTGTTAAAGTTTTAGCACTGTGCTGGTTCAACTAAAGCTACACAAAGATCACATTTCAAAAAAATGAAAAATTCCCACCCACTTTTCTTTATCACAGGAGTTTCCCGTGCCCCAAACAAATCCAGGGCTGTTTTTTGCCTTCCAGCTTCTCCCCTCCTCCCACCCGCAGCTTCCTACCAGCTGAGATTCTGCAGCTGCAGCAACAACAGTCTGTCTGTGACACTGCAACCACCACGGCAGGATGGTTCCTACCAATTCACTAGCTTCCTTATGTTTTAATAGAGGTAGCAAATTGTCAAGGGGCTGCCTCCCCCTCCCTTTTTTTTTTTTAACTGAAAAGATACTGATGAATATTCATTACTAGTTCTTTACCAATGGCTGAATTTTACTTAAAGGACTGAAAGAGAATTGCAAATTAGGCTAGTACAATGGGAGATTTTTGACTCAGTTCTCTGGTCTCTAAATACAGCTGAAGAGTAAGATTTTTGCAGAACAGAGACTTGATGGCAGTAAAAAAAAAAAAAAAACCTCTCTCCCAAAGCCAGCCTGCTGCTCAGGGCTGTGCCTCTGCTGCCCGCTGCAGCACCAGCTGCCAGAGGGTCACACTGTAACTCACCGCCCTGCAGTGCCACCGGGGCACTCGCCCACCTCTGCGGCTCTCCTCGCCGCATTTTCAAGGCCAGCACTCAGCAGGCCACATTCTGAGCCAGGACTTACCAAAACCCAACCCATTTGTGCCAACCCGTAAACATGATGCACTGAGTTTTTCACATTGCTCAGGAAGAGCTGCTCCAGCCAAGGTGCGGGCTGCTGCTCCCCCCCAGAAGGCACTGCAGCAGGTGCCGAGCACGCACTGTCCCCCGTTTTCAGGAGGCAATATCGCTTTCAGTTTCTTCAGGAGACCAAGGAAGAACTTGCCTTTCAATATTCGTCACCTAGCAGATCAGCTTCGAGGTCAAATTTTTAACAAAACACAATTTAAGTTTCTAACAAAAGGGAAGAGAGTTGGGGTTGTTCAGCCTGGAGGAGAGAAGGCTCCAGGGAGACCTGATAGCAGCCTTCCAGTATGTGAAAGGGGCCTACAAGAAAGATGGAGATGGGCTTTTTACAAGGACATAATAGCGGTAGTATGAGGGGTAACATCCTCAAACTGGAAGAGGGCAGATTTAGATGGGATATCAAGAAGAAATCTTTCACTATGGCAAGACACTGGAAGAGGTTGCCCAGGGACACTGAGGAGGCCCCATCCCTGGAAGAATGGATGAGGCTTTGAGCAACCTGGTCCAGCGGGAGGTGTCCCTGCCCACGGCAGGGGCATTGGAAGTAGATGATCTTCAAAGTCCCTTCCAACCCAAACCATTCTACCATTCTATGTAGTTGGGATCGCTTCTCTTGTGTTTGTTTTGGGTTTTTTCCCCTCCTGCTCTGGAAAAGCGAAGAGACAAACCAACCCTTTCGCACCTTCTGGGCGGAGAGCAGCCCGCGGG